CACAGTGAAGCAGCCAATAGTCATCAAAGTATTATCCTAGCCAAGGTTGCTCTTCACATGACAGTCCTAATTAATCTCTAACAAATGTTCTGCACAGGCCCTCAAGTGCTGGGATTGCCGACATGTACTATTGTATCCCACCAAGAATTTACATCTCTCTTGGGTTCGAATGATGTGGTATGGCCTGACTTACACTAACTCACGCATGTGGTAGTAAGAAACACAGATGAGACATTCTGGACACCAAAGACTGGTTGAATTGGTTCAGAAAAGGATGTAAAGCTCTCTGTAATAAAACTGGGGGTCATAAAAGGACAAAAGTCAAGCAAAGACACTTCAAACATATCAATAAAAATTAATATGTGTGCTATTATTTCTATATCAAATACCACCAGGTTTGTATACCCTCTTCACTGGAAGAAATAAATTATTCATGCATAGGATATTTCAAATAATGCATGTATTTTGTCAGTCTCATGGCTTTGTACTATTATCTTTGGGTCATTGACCTAAATTTCTTCCAGCTCTGTGATACATCCATGAAATTTTAATAGAGGCCTAGTTAACCATAGGCTTATATGATTAAATGTGTACCAAGCTGGAAACAGTGGACCACATCTGTAATTCCAGCTCTCAGGAGGATGAAGCAAGGAGAATTGTAAATCTGAGGCCAGCCTTGGCTATATAGGAGACACTGTCTCAAAACATTTCCTTTCTCTGTGTTCTAGATCAGTAGAGAATGCCCTTGTGCTTTTATTTAGGGAGGACCACAGCACCCCTAAGGTGATCCTTCAGATTTTCCCAGCTCCTCAAACAGGACTTAAAATGTTCAAAGGTTCCACAGTGATTAGGTATTAACAGACTATAAGAATAATCTCCTACTGTGTGCAGAAAAAAGGGAGCTTTTAAAAGATGATTCCATTCACTTATTCTCAAGCTCAAGAAGGCACAGCATAGTTTTAAAATATACTACAGTTTTCTCAAATCATAGATCCAGTGTTGTTATTTTCTAGCCTACAAAGTAGCAGGTCTCCTTATGGCGTTTTCATGCATACTTAATTTCGGTTGACCCCTTCCTCAGCCCCTCCTCCCCTCTTCTCTCTGCTCCCCGTCCTGGTTTGAGCCCTTCTACAGTCTACTCCCCTTTCTATCTCCTATCACGTGTGTTCTGTGACCCTCCCACCCCTCTCTTCTAAAGCCTCTTATTTCTCCCTCCACTTAAATGTGCAGACATAAAAATTAGAAGGCGGGATCTATAAATGAGAAAGAACATGGCCCATCTGTTTCATAGCCTAAGTTAGCTTGCTTAATATGTACTTTTTCAACTTTTTTGAAATTTTTGTAAGTTCATTTTTCTTTATGGCTGAAATTTTTTCATCTGTGTATATACTACATTTTCACTATCTACTCATCAGTTAGTGGACACTGTGAAGGTTAATCATAATTGTCAGCTTGATGAGATCTAAACTCACCTGGGAAATGAGCCTCTGATCATGCCTAAGGGAGACCGCCTTAATAATGTTAATTGAGGGGCTGGAGAGATGGCTCAGTGTTTGAGAACACTGGTGGTTTTACAGAAGACCCGGGTTCGAATCCCAGCACCCACATGGCAGCTAACAACTGTCCATAACGTGAGTTCCAGAGGATCCACCAGCCTCTTCTGTCCTCTGTGGGCATTGCACAACACAGGGGCACTTACCTACATGCAGATAATACACGCATACTCATAAAATAAAAATAATAAATAAAAAAATAATGTTAATTGAAGTTGAAGACATGCCCACTGTAAGTGGCACCATTCCGTAGGCTGGGATCCTGGACTGGATAAAAGGAGTCAAAGGCACTAAGCACAAGCATTCATTGCTGTCTTCTTCCTCATTGTGGATACAGTGTAACCAGCTGCTGCAAGCCTGAGTTCCTTGACCCCATCATGATGGCATGGACCCTGAACCTGTGAGACAAAATTGACCCTTTCTCCCTTCAGTTGCTTTTCTTAGAGTATTTTATGACAGCAACAGGAAAAGTATCTAAGACAGACCACTAGGCTGATTCCATTTCCTTGCTTCCAAGAATAGAACAAAGTGATAAAAACATGGCATACAAAAGATCTAATTTGTTTTTTTAATATTTTATTTTATGTCTATGCATGTGTTGTCTACATGTGTGTAAGTGCACCCATGTTGTCCAATGCCCAAGGAGATCAGAAGAGGGCATCAGATACCCCTGGAACTGGAGTTACAGATGATTGTTAGCTACCATGTGGATGCTGGGGATGGAACCTGGGTTCTCTGCCAGAGCAGGCAGTGCTCTTAACCACTGAGCCATTTCTCCAGCCCCAAAATCTAATTTCTTAAAAGTAAAATAAAAACAGAAGAAACATCTATGAAGAACTTATGAGACTGAATAGTAGACATATGAAAAGTAATCTTCATCAGCAAGAAATGCAAAGTGAAAACATAAGACAGCATTTTGACAAACTAGGTTGAAAAGGATACTAGAATCTACCAATAAAAAGTGTTTGCAAACATGGAGTAAGCTAGTAACATACAAGACTCTGGAGGGTGAAAACTGGGAAATAAAACATTTTGAAAAAAGGAGCAAAGGGGCTGGAGATATGTCTCAGTGGTAGTTCACTTGCCTAGACTGCGAAAGGCCTTGTGTTTGATGTCTAGTACTGAAAAGAAAAAGAAAGAGGAAGAGCGGGGCGAAACAGAAGAAGAGAAGGAGGAAGAGAGAAAGAAGGGAGAAAGACATTGCATGTTAACATGGAAGGTGCACAAACACCAGTGAGAAACTCATCCTTGTAAACAGAAAATATATAATGTGTCTTAGAATTAAATTAATAATATAATATGTGCTTGAAGTGTATTCCCACACCAACTAAAACTAGATATTTAGCATGGAATTTCCTTTACCATTCAGAGCTACAGTTGTTTTAAAGATCAAAGCA